TGGAAGGCTTTTGAGTCACCAGTTGAATTTAGAACAACCATGTATGAGATTATAAGGCACAGGTAATCCAGTTGGGACTTGAAAGCACAGTCAACACAATTCATTAATGAAATCAATTCAGGCATGTTTCTTTATCCATCTGACAATAAAAGCTCCCCTTATGAGGTCAAATGTGTGAGCTACTCTAAATAAGACTGTGCAATAGAGCTTGGCAAGTGATATAGGTTTCAGGGTTACCTGTTCATACCAGAAAGAAGACATGAGAAAATTTTGAATGTACGTTTTCACTTTATAATGAATGTCTTTTGGGCCCCTCCAAACTTATGTCTAAAAGTATCCAGCTCTTGACAGTTGGTTCTGGCCACAAAGTTTTTGAGATCCTCTGATTTGATGCTCTAGGGCTAACTAATACTGAAGAGCTCTTTTTACTGGCGCTCTTTCTTTCTGAAAGATGACATGACTTTGCTATGTCCTATGGTGGATATTTCCATAGACTTAACCTTGTCTCTTTTTGTACTGAATGTACCTCAACTACATGCAATTTGCTGTTATATTCCTATTCTTGTTTCACATCCCATTATTTTTCTGAGTCCCACTCAAAACTAGGAAGTTTTACCTGTCACTCAGTGAATGAAATCAGAACAATGTTCTCCAAAATAGAATATATTACTTTGAAAATGTGAACAGGTCCCGTTAAACACAGTGCTTCCCTCTTACGAATAGAAGAGCAAAATGCAACAGCTTTTCCTTTACTTTGGATGAGCAGTCCCAAGTTGTCTCGGTCCACTGGACCCTTAAACATTAGACATGTTTGGTAGGCTTTTCAATCTTCACAGGATTTATCTCTCACCCTCTGGAATTCATGTATCAAACCTAGCCTCCAGAATGCGTGACTCTTCCTATTCATCAAGATCTTATTGTATATTGCTCGATATCATCAATAGAGTAGACTAATGTAATGCTCTTTGGAATGTCTAAACAGTCTAGTTGCCTTTTCACAATATTATAACACATAGAGGAGAATTAATATTTCCCAGGGTAAAACCAGAAATGTGTATTGTCACCTATTCTACACGATGTGAAATATCCCTGGTACTACTTCATGATGGATATTTAAAACAATGGAATTCACTTAGGCAAAGGTTATGTACCTGAGGCTGTCATTTGCTCTAGTAAACCATGTTAGTATACAACAACTACAACTGAAGCTATAACTTTGTTGAGTTTACATGAATCTACTGCAATTTGCCCTGATCCATCTTAGTTTCCCAGAAGCCAACTAGTAAACTGAATGAGTAGCAGTGGAGATCATGACTTTCATATTTTTGAAAACTTTACTCTCTGTCATACCTCTTCTACGCAATATTGACTTTTATTTAGTGTCTTTCCTGAAGTAATCAGCTTCAGGGAGTTTTATTTGGTCTTTTTCACTGCCATAGATGTTACTGGTCGAAGAACCAACACAAGAGCTCTTTCAGCTTCTAGGTCTGCCCATTTCAATTACACACTGAGAAACCAGTGAGGAAATGGGTTGTTAGTCCCGTAATCTCTGTGTTCTCCTACACTAACCCAGAGTCCATCGTATTTTCAACTGTTCCCAGAATCACAGACTATTTGTACACTATATCCAATTTCCCTTAAAAGATTTGTGCATTCCTTGTCTCTATTTTATGATTACCCATGTGAATAGTAATAACTCTCTTCAGGAGGGAACTGCCTGTACCTAATCCCATGGTATTGCCAAAATCTTCCTCACAGAAAATTGTCTCATCTTGAGACTTATATCTAAAACTGAACAAGAGATTGTGACTTTCTTTTGAAATAGCTGACCTTAGCCTTTTACATTTGCATCCTCTACAAAATTTAGGTACATATATCTGTGTGCACACAAATGCATATGCACATGTGTGTATGTGTGTCAGTGATCGCATGTGCAAAATATGTATTTTTATTGGTTTCGTATTTATCTCGTCTCTGGAAATAATATGTTATATTGACCGTATCACAAGACTCAAGCAGTAGACATGTTTGCCCCAAGCTGTCATTCCAACCTCGCTGCCATTACAGTAATTCTGACTACCTTGTTTATGAGTGTTAAATATGTGGTCTTTTCCAGAATTCATTCATCTGCTTTACTCTTAGTTTTTTTCTTGACAGCACCTCTTACACTTCCAGTCTCCAGAAGACAGTTCCACATGCTTTTCAGTGAGACTAGTGACCCTCTCGTCAGCTCATTCCTTATTACCTTGGTATTTAGTGTCTTCTTGGGGGTCCACCAAGGTGCAAAATAAGCTGACGGGATTCCTAACTCAGCTTGCTAAGCACTTCTCCTTCTTGTTTAGCCCCCTAGATCCTTTCCTCCATAGTCTGCCATGGCAGTGCTGGGGTGTTTCTGTATTACTGAATGTGAATTCCATTTCTTTTGCTCTTCCAGAGGAAGCCATCTAGACAGCATATTGGACTTGTCTTCCAGTACTCGCTGAGTCATCAATTCCTGTGGCATATAAGACACGCGGTATATTTAGCCTACAGAATTAATCCCTCCCTTGTCTGGTGTGACATTCTGTATTCACTTCCTGTGGCCCAATCCCTTCAAGATTGACTCCCAGTACTTCTGTCCTGATTCCCAAAAGCATTGTGCCTCCCCTACTCCCCACTTCATAATAGTGAGATTGGCCTTCATTGCAGTTATGGTGGCCGGCAGGGAAAGCTGCGGGGCTAAGGACCCCGCTAAGGACCCTGTTAAGGGCAAGCATTGTCTTAGGAGGCACCTGTCTCAGGTGAAGCCTCTGGAAAGTCTTCAGGCATGGATGCTTGTAGACTGTGTTTGGCAACAAGTGGGAAGGCACATTGTCAGGCTCAGAAGTCTCTGATGAAGTTAGGGATTCAGGTCACACAAGTGTATCTACCTGTGTATCCCGACCCCAAGTTGCAGGTATGTTCCTCCCCTGTCAGGTCCTGAATTTTGCTCTGAAGTTTTGCCAAGCCTGACATTTTATTTGCTTTCAAGTTCTACCACCTTCCAAATCAGGCCTTCATCTTGCTTTCAGCACTTTCTGCCTTCTGATTAGAAAAAACCAGAGTTTACTCAAACACTGCAAAATAGCCCCAGGGTCACTCTTTGCTTTAAATTGTGAAAAGATCTGGCCTACTGTTCTCTTCTGTGCATCTGCGGCACTCAGCTGTTGCTAACCTCCACAGCCCGCCTACACTGGAGACACTGCACCAGCTGTCCTTACCTGTAGGTACTGCGAACACCTGATGTTTGCTGAATTATTGTCCCTATTGCACCTGGGTACATGTGCAAGTCAGAAATCCTCCTTTTCCCCCTCTTAAACGTAGAATTATCTTTCCAATGGTGAACACATTTCGATGAAGTCAAATTCAAGTCACATGCGTGAGAAAGGACTTTCTGAAAGGATTCTGCCCTAGACAAGACACCACAGCAGTGAGAGGCGGGACCAAGGGACGATTACCTTGAGGTCATTTCCCCGCCCCTAGGCAATTTACCTGTGGCACGGAAAGAGTTCCAATCGGCTGCTGGTGCATCAGTAATGCCCCTTTAGGCACCACCCCAGACCAAAGCTATATGTATGCCTCCCCATACCAGGAGTCCAGCAGGAAAGCCAGACATGGCGGTGATGGAGTTTCTCTCCACATCCTTAAAATAAGGGCCGCTTTACTTTATATTCTGTCTTCTAACTGTGCCAAAAACTCTTTCACTTTCATTTGTTAAAATTTTGAAATTCTGGTATTGCTGGGGTATATTAGTGGCTCTTGGGGATTGTGCCAGATGTTTGCAAAAGAGGTTTGTGATAAGCAGCATACTGTCCACATTCTAGTCACTGGAACCTGTGGCTATGTTAGGGAATAAAGGACAAGGAGTAATTACAGTTTGGATCAGTTGACCTTTAATAAAGAGATTATCCTGGATTCTCCAGGAGGGGCTGCTGTAATCACAAACTGCTTAGAAGAATCTTACTGGGGCAGATATGACTATGGAAATAAAGGCACAGCAAGATAAGACACTGCTGACTTTGAAAATGCAGGAAGGGGATCAAGAGGCAATGTGAGTGACCGCTGGAAACCCCAGAAACTAAAGAAATGGATTCTCTCTGCAGCAGTCCAGACAATACCTTGATTTTAACCCAGGGAAACCTATGTCAGACTTCTGACCTCCAGAATGGTAAGGTAACAAACTTGTTTAACCTGCTAGAACTGGAATAATCTTCTGCAGGAAGACTGAGAGACTATTAAGCGTGTTGTAAACTAAGGAATACACTGTAACAAGGCCTTCTGTTGCTCCCTTTGCCTTAAAATAATTTAGCCTATTTCCGTAGGAGAGAATAAAAATATTTGGTGGTGGTAGGATGGAGTCTAAAGAGGGAGGAATTCATCACCAAGAGTAAGAACTTGGAAAGAAAGAGAAAAAAAAAATCTCTTTGTGTAAACAGCAAGCAAGAAGGCGTGACTTAAATCCAGCGTGGGCTAACTTTATCTGATCAGTGGATTCAGAATAAAATCACTTTGTCTTGCTATTCTAACATTTTCTTTTTTTCACATAAATGTTGTATGTAATTTATGGGATTTGTGTGCCACTAGTTGTAACTTTTAAAATCTGCAAATTTGTAAAATTCTTTAAACAAAACATGCATGCCTAGCAACGGTGAGATAATATCATGGGCAAGTCAAATTTTATAAATCACTGCAATTTTTGAAAACTGTAAATATCCTAGTATCCATAAATCTTCAAACTGAGAGCCACTGGCAAAGACCATAACTTGTTGAAATGAATTCCCAATATAATCAGACCAGTTATTTATAAAAATAGAATCGTCTGGAATCTATTAGATAATAGATTCTTTATGTCTCCACCAGAGGGCACTGCAACCTTTGTAGAAGACCAAGGCGCACCGTTACACTTCCTGTGAAAAGGTTTTGGGTTTTTAGTTCTTGAGGAAGCAACTGTTGTAAGGCAGAAAATAAACGCCAATAGTATATTTCACATTTTTCCATGTCACTTTATTAGATACACTTTAGGTTTATTTTTATCTTACAAGTCAACCTCAGAAACAAAGCAGGAAAATTGAGCCATGCCTTTTTTTCAGTGTAGTAAAAGAATAGATAACAAAGGATAAAAGCAGATGGAATTTAAGACATCGTTTCCACATTAATACCTTGCCCCAAACACCATGCAGTATTAAATCACATCCCCCTCATGCAATGATATTAAAAACATATGCTATAAGGTAGTAAATGTCTCCATGGACTAAAGGGGACGGAATATCAGTTCAGAGGGATTAAGTTTCCTCACAGGAAGAGAAATGTAAAAACATATTTTTAAAAATGTAAAAATCCATTTGCAGCGTTTCTGATGTAGTAGTGTGGTCATGTGGGAAAGAATAAAGATGTTCCTAAGAGGCAAAAAACTGTTCCTTCCAGCTCACGACTGCCTAGTATCTCATTCACTAAGCTAGGCAGCCCATTTCCTTGAGGTTGTAAAAAAATCTAGTTTAAGGGGCTTTTATTTGTAATATTTCATAACAAAACTACAGGCAGGCAGTCACCTCCTCTTGCTAAGTTCAGATTTCTCTTGTGAGAAAAACATACAACAACACTGAAAAGGAAATAATTGGAAACACTTCCATCAGACTGCAGGAGAGACACATCCTAAAATTTTCTTTGGATATGCAGCTTTTCAACATAAAGTGGCATTTGGATAGTAAGCACTTATGTCATTTACTAAATTGTGTGGGGCTCTATCAAAATATTGTGTTTCTTTCTTACAAAGAGGTATGTGTCCATGAATTTCAGTATGGCTTGAATTGGCATAGCGCATCTCCTCAAAAGACTGATAAATATTTTTCTTTTCATCTGTTTCATCTCTTTGACACTGGGATTTAAAGTCTTCCTGAGGAAATCATTAAAATTATATGAGAACAAATTGAGAGGAAAATCAGAGGACTAGCCCCTGATCACTAAATTGAATCTCTGTTATCTGACATATCTTGGAAAGAAAACAAAATAAATATTTTTCATTCTGTTACAGATACCATCTTTCATCTGAGATTCCCACAAGCACTAATATGGAGTCTAACTTACAGAAAGACATGGTCACAGACAGTGCGGTAGCCGATGAGAGCTGGACCTTCAGACAGAAAAGTAGGCACAACAGAGAAGTTCCTTACTGTGCAGGTGGCTGGTTTAGTAAAGTCACCAGGGGCCAGCTCATGTGTCCTAAGCCCCAGTGCAATAGACAGCAGGATCCAAATCATTCTGTTTGCTCCATAACTGGCCATGCTCCAGCAGCAATTTTGCAAGAATAGGCTAGGGAGGGGTTGAGTTCTGAAGTGAAGCTCAAGTTCCAGCACCACCACTTGGGACTATGGACCAGGCACTTCACTGTTCTGATAATCCGCAAACATCCCATCCCACTTAGATCACAGGGCAGTAGGAGGGGTAGGGTTGGGATGAATTAGGAGGAAAAGAATGGACCACACTAATTTGCAAACTACAAAGTGCTGTGCAAATATAAGGCATGGATTTACACTCTAAACACAATCTCTTAGGTCTCCTACAGCCATAGTAATTACACACTTCACATTCTTTCTAGCGCTTTAATTCTATTCTGAGATTTTAGCTTATTGTGGGAAGCGTAGGAATTCTTGAAAGCAACACGTACACTCCAAATACAGGATGGATGTGGGATTCAGCGTGTATTTGCAATCTACCAACAAATGAGGGTACCAGAGCCGCTAGTCTGAATCTACAGGCTAAATGGGTTTCCATTTCCTTTCTGGGTGGCTACAGTTCTGGGTTATTCCACAGCCACAAACTCTATGGCTACAGCAGCGGGCATAGGAGTATCTCTTAGACCCCAAAATTCATTTCAGAGATGACCATTCCTCGGCAATAAACTGGAAATAATCCAGTTTTCTCAAAATTGTTTAGACCAGAAAAGTGACTCAAGGGCAAGACATAACTTGGTAGTGTTGCATCTACCCTGAGTGCCTTGGAAAGTGTCCCACATGTGCCTCTTCGTGGTCACAGCTGAGGCTGGAAACTCACAGTAGCTGCCCCTCTTCCTAACAACCCAGCCCCAAGTACAAGCAATTACTTACAAAAGAGAACACACTAGTAACTGTGGGTAGCCTGGTGTAAAAGGCCGGGGCACAACATTAAACAATTGGACATAACTTTCACTTGGAGATGTTTGCCAAAGCAAAACTTTCAGATGAACTTTTATGCAGTGAGTTTAAAACTAACTTCGAGGCCTACTCGAGTAATCTCATAGCTGATTTTGTCCTTAAATTTGAGTGAAGGCATTTACGTTAAAAGTTCAGTTCAACAAGTATTAATGAAAAGCCAAAGTAAAACACTGAAATGTATCTGCAAACCCTACTCAAAAGTGGAGCTCCTTTACTCAGGAAAAACTGTTTAGGTTTCTGCAAGTTGGGACTGCAAACCATATCAAAGAGGTGGAAATACACCTTTTCTCCTTTCCTTAAAGGTCCATCTACACTGTGAATCCCAAACCATCAACATTCAAATAGCCGTTAATCACAGAAAGTATCCATGATAATTTCCAGACCAAACAATCTAAAGGATGGACCACCCAAACCAGGGTGTCATCTAATCTAAGCGGCACATTTTCCTTATGCTTCCCTTGGTGCAGAAATGTTGAAATGCATGCTAGGCCAAACTGACTGACAGTCATTTAGCAAAGTTTCTAATATTACAACTTGCTTCCTGTTTTTTGTTTTGGGCCTTTTTTTCTTCTTAATGCTAAATTGTTTGTTTACAGAGTATGATGACTTCTTAGTAAAGCTTGCAGATGTAACTTTGTTTGCAAATGTAATTCAGGTAGTTATTTCCATTTAAATGTCAAGCCACACTTCGATGGTATAAAATTTTATGTCAAAAATTTGCTAGCAGAAGCAGAAGGTAGGGTCAAAACAGGTTCTTGGGGGTTGCAGATTGTCATATGGGGAGAAACCTGCATATTGATTGGCAAGTGAAGGCTTTTGTGTTGCTTCTCTATGGACACTTCTTAACAATCCCCAAATTTCTATTAAATCTTTCGTCAAAATATTACATTGTTTATGCTTCATTTGGTTTAGGGTTTATGAGCATAATGGCATAAAGCTTCAAGTTTATCTAATACAAGGGATAACCCAATGTGAAACTTATGAGAATGACAACCAACAGAATTTAAGAGCTCTGGAGTGAGTGGGAGAGAAAGACAGAGAGAGAGAGAGACAGAGACAGAGAGAGTAAGAGAGAGGAAAGGTTCCCCATAAAATAAAAAATTACCAGTACATGCTCCCATTATTTTTGTCACAAGATTTCCTGAGCATTCCTCATTCATTATTAGTGCAACGTAACTCCAATAAATCAACAACATTTTTTTCTCCAAGCAAAATAAGTATATACTTCTAGGATATATATACAGAACAAAACATATAATAGTATATCATCTTTTAAAACACTAGTAATTTTAACTTCTATAAATATATTTAAATAAGAAACATAGATAGCTATTCACATAGCACACAAAGTGACATACAAAAATAAAACAATCATGTTTATTTAACTCTGTTGTTGTTTTGATTGCTTTGGGTTTTCTTCTTCCACAAATAGACCACAGCAATTTGTAAGCCTGAATCATTTTGTTAATATTCATCCCAGAAAAACTGGCTATAAATTCATTTTGCAAACAGATACCACAGCCAAGTTCAAAAGCAACAAAACCTTCCCTGGTGGGCTGTTTTGCTTCTGTTCAGAAAGTTAAGAGGGCACACAGTTCTCCAGCTTCAATGAGTTAGGTTTTTCCTAGTCGTTGTGAGATAAAGGAACATTAGTCAGGTTATCTGACCAGGGGAAGGTGTGAAGAAAGCAATTTGTCCTCTTTGTGCATGGAACACAGAGTTCACTTCCTCCCCAGGCACTTCCATACACCAGTCTCCATAAAGTATTTCTCAACAAGAGAATGAGACTCCACCATTCTGCACCAGAGGCAAACAATGTGTGTTCTGTCACAACGACAAGTCACCTGCTCCAGCCACTGCGCCTTCTCCTCACAGAACTCTGCAGCCCAATAGGTGGACTATATACACGCTTCTGCTGGAAGACAGAGTGTTGCTGTGAAATAATGTAATAATTATATCCCTAGTAAAACCATATTTTGTGTCCATGGTATGTTTTAATTCTCTTACAAACAAGGAGCAGAAGATAGATTTCTCGTGTCCACCTGGAACCTTGCATACGTCTGAGCTCCCATGAGGAATATAAAATCGTGATTCCTCAAAGGACCTCAACCCCTCCCACCCAAGGGCTGTGACACAAGTCGAACTAGGGGTTCTGTTGCATTTGGTTACTGTTTTCTTCCAAGCTGTATTTTCAGATGGGGAGCCCATCCTCCAAGAACTTCAGTTTCCCTTTTAAGGAAAAATGTAAGTTTTTGGCATCCTCCTGTAGAGTTGCTTGCAGTAAAATGTAAGAGGAGGGAGTCCTGGATCTTTTTCAAATAGAACTGTCAGCACAGACAGAAGAAGGGTCTTTTTTGAGTTCCTGGGGGCTGCCCTCAGGTGCGGGTGGGGCATGCTGCTGCTGATAGATGTCCTGGATGAGCAGGGTATTCATGACCTTCCATTCCCTGTATTTCCTGGCTGTCAGCTTTGGATCATCCAACAACTGGTTAATCATGGCCAGATCATGTTCTTTACACTGTCCAAGCAGAAGAGAGGGAAGCTAATATGAGTATCTTAATTTTCCTAGAGTATATTCATCATAAATTTACCAAAATATTTTGCACATTAATATTCTAATCCTTCCATCAAACCTATGAGATCTGGCAGGACAAGCTGTTATCCTATTATATATTCTAACTACACTGACGTTAAATACCCTGCCCAAGAATTATACATAGAGTCAAAATCATCTTGGATGTGGCTCTTAACTAATCCATCCATTATTCCACACCACAGAAATGATTCTCTTAGAGCAAGCATTACTATACATCTTTTCAAGTTTATCATTTTATACAGAAGCATTTCATTGACCATCAAAACTTTACTAAGTAAAACTGGGACTTAACATTGTAAATTTTTAAAGCATAATAAGGTAACTAAATACATCATGTATTTGCATAGGTAAAAATACATAATTTATCAAATTGTTCTAATTAAAATTCATAAATTACATTTAATTAACATGTAGAATAAACACAAGTTATCTTTTTAATCAAAGAAGACATACTTAATTTTATCTAAACAGTATATATTCCAGTAATGTTAATACAGTTAGAAGTCAATTATTGCTATTCCACTAGATATTAGCTCCTTTTAAGTAACAAGTGATTCACTTTTTTTTTAATTTTAAATTTTTCTAAAACTGGCTTGAGTTAGAGTTTTCTGTAGTCAAGGAGTGGAGTAAAAATATGATGCATCATTCTTCACACTAAAAAGAAACCACTGAATCCTGATAATTTGATCTCAAATTGTTTCCTCCATCCCTCTGAGCACTGCCCTCACTTTAATATGTCACGTTGGCTCTACCACCAGCAGCTTCTAAGTGAGGTCCTTATCTCAACTGCCCACCTGGAAGCACAACCCTCAGGACAGTGCAGGGCCTCACCTCCATGCTGAGTCCTGCTAGTGATTTCCTGTGGGGGCCTTTGGCTTCATCTGTCAGCGCTCTTTCTCCATCTTTCATTCCAGTGCAATGGTACTGATGTGCACTGCACATTTCTTACCCACACAAGTTTAGTTTACACTCAGAGTGTCACGTCACACACAACCTGCCTCCTGATGAACTCTAATTTCCAGACTTGCTTTCACATGGAGCACTTTCCAATTTCTCTTTACCGTAACTAATAAATCTGTACTCATTTCAGGCATCCTGTTCTGCAGTGAAACCTTCCCTTCATGCCCAAACTGCGCTGAGAAGTGTATTAATTTTTATGTTTACATGCCATCCACTGTTTCAAGTGCTCTTAAAACTTAAAATAATGAGATGCGTATGGATCTGCCTTGCCAGCTGTTCTAAAGCTTAAAAGTGATAAGAAATACTTTCTTCATTTCTGTATTCTCAGTGTTTAACACAGTGCTGAGTGGTAGGTAGACACTAGATGCCTTTCCCTGCTGAATCAGTAGCTCTGCCCGCCCTCAGAGCAGCACCGATGCAGCTACACTGCACAACCTGGCTCTGTTCAAACTCATGACCACGCCCTATAAGTGGACTTTCACTACTCTCCAGTAATTATACTTCCCTCTTCTCTCCCTGTCTCCAAAATAACTATTTCAAAACTTCTCTCCGATTTAGCTCAGCGGCATAAGCACCTGCCTTGTAAGCAGGCGGTCATGAGTTCGATCCCTGGTACCGGTAAAAATGAAAAAGACAAAAAAAAAAAACAACAACAACAACAAAAAAAAACTTCTCTCCTCATCTCAAGCCTTCCCTGTCTCACTTTCATCTGATGACTTTGTTCTCATTAAAGAGACAATAGATACATGATAGGCAGACAGGCAGACAGGCAGACAGGCAAAGAGAGATGGAAAGCCTGATTTCCAGGAAGGAACAAAAACAGTGCAGGAAGGTAAGCAAATAGGTCTGACAAACAGGAGACGCAGGACCCAAAAGAAGAGGAAAGGAAGGTGAAAGAGGTAACTAAGGGAATCGTCTGCAAGCCATCATGACTGGCCAAAATTTTATTTCTTTTTTCTGCATTCTCAATATCTATGATTCAAACAAAAAATTCCCCAAAAGAAAAATAAATAAGGAATAAGCTTTCATCCTCTGACACCGCCGTAGTACTATTAACACAAAGTTATTTAAGGACTTATATTTTGTTTTTTAAAAATGTAAACATCTGCTTCAAAGAGAAATCAATATTTTATTGGAAAAAATTAAATAGAATCATTGAAAATTAGCCAAAAGTTTGGAAATTGATTTTTCAATCTGATAAAAGGTTTTAAGAAAGGCTTTCCAATTTGGGGAATAAGGCTAATCCTCATGGTGGTTCCCCCCCCCCCCCGTCTTTTTTTTCTCTAAACAGTACAATTTCATTACTGTTTGGATCCAATCTCTTTTAGGTCTTTGTAGATAAAAGGGAAAGCTACACATAGACATACAGAGGAAGGAAATCGATGAAATAACAAGACTGAACTCCCCCTTAGACCAGCAGCCCTGGAGGTTACAGCATCACAAGGAGGCCCTGCTGCTCCTGGCAGGCACAGGATGCTGGCTGGGATTCTTAACCACTTGAATAAACCCATCTTGCTTTCTAGAGGCAAGAAATTTTTCAGAATCTCCAAAAACACTGCTAAAGAGAGAATGCTGTCCTTTTCATTTTTATTTCAAATATCCAGTACATGCTTAACACCACCTAAGCATGGAAAACATGTTCCACCAGGGCAGCTACAGGGAAGAGATTGCTCATCTCTCTTCAATATAGATAAAGGAACTCAGACAGTTTCATTCAGATCCATTAATCATTCTATTAATCACTCACTTAAAATAAAGACAAGCTTAGCCAAAAGCCAGTGAACTTCAGCTGACAAAAGTCCATGAAATTCACACTTAGTAAATGACATGAGAATTTGCTCAACTTCCAAAAAGAGTTTCCCAAACAACATTCATTCTGATACAATCCCAGTACAGAGATTTTTCTTGCTTTATGATGCACCTGTCACTCTATAAATATTATTTTCAAATAGTTTTTTTATTTCTGTATGAAACTGTGTTTGCTTTTCCATGCTCCACCTCTGAAGTATTTTTAAAGAAATGTTTGTATCATAATGTAACATACACAAAGAAAAGTACACAATAGATTTATGCTTAGTGAATTATAGAATAATGAATGCATCCATGTGGTTGTAAGCAGTACTAACTTGCAAGCATCCTAGAAGATCTACTCTTGCCTCTAACCAAGCAGATTCTCCTTTTCCTCTCAAAGGCAACAGCCATCCTGATAGCCCTGAATTTTAAAAGCAGCTTTAAAAATAATTATAACCTTGCAACATGAGCAAATATATATGCACCAAACTATATTTCTCCATTGAGTAGGTTGATGTGCTTTGTTTTCAAAATTGTTTTGCCAACAAAGCTAGTTTCCACATCATGCATCTTCCTGAGGTTAATGAGACCATACAACATGGATCTCATTTCATCAGCCCTAAGCACTATACTTTTGGGAAGCCTCAGGGATCAATGGAAAGGGCTGATTCTTATAAATGTACAGACAGTAGTTCAACTGGTTTTGGGAGGCACCCCTAAGATGTTCCTCATGTTTTCTGCTTCTTGGGGTTCATGTCATTGTGTGGTCTATTCCTTGCATACAGATGGACCTAATAACTTGCTTTGACTAAACAGTATAATACAGAAGTCCTGTGATGTCACTATTGCAAATGGATTATAAATTACCATGCTTCCTAACTTTCCCTATCTTGTTAGCTCTGAGCGAAGCCAACTACCAGGTTTGGAGCTGCTCTCTGAAGAGGCCCATATGTTTCCTCCAACCAACAGCCCAAGAGCAACTTGCAAGAAACTGATCCTGCCAAAAACCAATGTGAGAGTTTAGAATAGATGTGTCCCAGTGGAGACATGAACAAAGCCCAGTGACACCATGGTCAGAGCCTCAATGAAGACTTAGAAGAGGGAAAGTCTATGCAAGCGAAACTCAGATTCTGGGCCCACAGAAACCCTGAAATAATAAATACTTCTTCTTTGAGTTTGCCACATTTTGGGAGTAATTTATTAACTACTAGATGAAAAGAAAGTGTCCCTGAATTCATCTATTACCCATCCATTCATCACGCCTACAATGAATAGAAAGCAAAAAGTCACAGAGAACCCTGTTTCCTGGTGTGGTGATTAGGTATAATTTTGAAAACTGGACTGATTTGAGAGCTGCCATGGGGATGAATAAAATACCTTTCCGGATGTGTCTGGTGGGTGACAAAAGTGTCTCTTCCTCTGTCCCTTTCCTCTCTGACACTATCCCCCTGCTCTGCTTTCTAGCAGCCATGAACTGAGCATCTTTTTTGCTCCTCCACACTCTTCTGCCATAAAGTTCTGTATTGATGCCCACTAAATATGGGCTGAATCCTCTGAAGCCATTATCCAAACACAGCTCTCCTCCTTTAAATTGTGGGTATCAGGCATTATGTGCCAAAAATGGAAAAGTGACCAAGGCAGCTGTAAATTCTTTGATTCTTAAGTCAGAGCATGGTCCTCTGAAAGTCTAAAATCTTTAGTCCCCTAGCGTGCGGAGAATCTGAGCCACAGTCTTTTTCCTACAATGGCCCAACTCTCTCATGCTTTCCTTGGACTCCCACTTCTCCCAACATGGGCTGTAAACATCGTCGTTTCATTGACTTTACATGTCCTGGAAGGCCTTTCCCTGCTCTTCCTGATATTGGTCTCTTACTAGCCAGTGAGCACTTCTGCAGTGCCGCCCCAAATCACCCTAGAGGCAGTCACATCCCTTCCCTGGGCTTCCCTGGGCTACCAAAGCCTCCTGAACTCGTGCCTCCCACACAGTACTCTGCACACTGCATTTAAACTACTTCTTTCCCTTCTGCTGCACTGCCCTGGATGTTCCATTTAATGGTCACAGTAACCTAGAAGAGTGTCTGGTACACAGTAAGAGTCAGGAAACATCTGTTCACTAAAAAATGTATTCACTTATATCAACTCTCACAGACAAATAAGACTGTAAAATTCCTACATATTGTAGGACATAATATGGAATGATCGCACACATAAAACATGCAGAAGGACTACTGGTAATTTCTTCTCATCATGAAGTATTAGGAAATGTCTCTGCATTTGAAATGTCTTTGTATAATTAAAATGCACTGTCCCTTTCCTTTTGTAGCCTCTCCATTACAGCCTTTTAGGGCACTTTGTTTCTTCTAATGACTAACTGGGACGACTGAATAAGAGCCACTCAGTCACCACTTTGTAGCCTTGTCTTTTTGATTGTGCTGACTTTTCTTCCCGGAAAAGGACTCCCACTCTTAATGCAAAAGGACATGTACAAAACAGAATTAAATTGCAGGACTTATCAAAGCTTTTCAGAATCTATAAATCTTCTGTTAATCTAGGACTATTTTACAAAGTATCCTGACCTTCTCCTACTCATGTCATCTAAATCTGAAAGCAGGATGCTTTTGTTATGAAGAATCATTTTAGTTACAGAAGGCCCTGAAAATAGCTTCAGTTCATCCTGTACACTGTCCCTTGCTCCTATTGTGAAAACATCTGCTGGTCTGCGATTACAAAATGTACATCTCCCACTTGAGCCTATGGCAAACAGGCTCTGCTGACTTCATAATCTAGAATTTTCTCCTAAATACAGCACAGAAGCGTACTAGTGTTCATTCTCACCAACTGATGAGTTCTCTCTAATCAATATTTATTGAGCCAGGGATAGCACTAGGCTTAAGGATTACAAAAATAAATTATACATGCTCCTTGCCATCCAGGGACTTAAAATTCAAATTTTTATATTGGACTAAATGTAAAATGAAGGTCTTTTGTGTGGGTGTCCTAATGCTTTGAGAATGTCTAGAATCATATCATCCTATAAAGATTACATTTATGCATCATGCCCTTCCTTCACCCTTACAAACATACTGTGATTAGCATGAATCCCTCTGCAGGATGCAGTCATTATTTTTTGCCTTACATCAACAGAGTTCATCCAGTCTAAAACTGTCTTACCTTTAATGTGCTATTCAAGGTTCGGATTTTGTGCAGTTTCTCATTGATAGATGGATTCTTGCACCTCCTAACAAAGGACTTTCTTAACTCCTTTTTGGTTGAAGGTCTTCGGTCGCCCAGAGGAGATAGACTAGCTTGCTCTAATGATTTGTAAAGCTTTTCCATTTCATCTTCAGCTGCTTTTGTTTCATCTATTTAAAAATATGTAATGACAACAAACAGTCAAAACTACTGAGAGAACATTAGATACTGTAGACCTAAAGTATGGTCCTGCCCACACATTGATCTCAGACTTGTCACCTCCAGAACTGTTAAGATAATAATGTTTTGGTGTCTAACCACTCAGTGGGTGATACACTGCTATTGCAGGCCCACGCCACCCTTCAGGGGATACAGCGGTGCTTCAGGTTTTTCTCTGGCTCCCAGAATTTCCTTTGTGGCAGTATAACTCCAATTTCATATGGTGTTTTCCTGTGTGCATGTATCTGTGTACAAACCTCCCCTTTGTATAAGTGCATATTGGATTAAAAGCCCATCACAATGGCCTCATTCCTGTTAATTATGTCAGCAATATTTCACAGTAAAATTACATATCAATTTACACAGGAGGGGGGAAAAGTTAGGACTTCAACATTTGAATTTTGGTGGGATGAAATTCAACGTGGTCATTCCACCTTCTGACCCCTCAAGATTCACATTCTTCTCACATGTAAATCATCTTCATCTCATTCCAACGTATCAAAAGTCTATGAATTTCAATTCTAAAACCAAAATCTAAACCAAATATCACCCAAGTCAGATATTATGAGACTCAGGGGTGGATTCATCCTGGTGTAAAATTCTTCATCTGTGAACCTGGGAGCACTGCTACCTTACTTGTGAGTTCTAAAGTTAATTGTAACCTTGACTGGATTATGAGACGCGTGGAAAGGTTACATGAATGTGCGCTTAGGCAGTCTGAACATAAACTCTTAGGCAGTGGAAGCTTCCAAAAGTCACTCCACGAATCATGATAATGGAACCCATCCATTCTGGGACACGGATGTTGATGAGGCTATTGAAGCCCCCGTAGCCTATGACAGCCAAGGTGTTGCCTTTGTTAAGCTACTCTAACTATGGTTTTTGCTCACTGGCAACTATGAACACCTCATGAATGACCTGATGCCCAGGTCATTCAAAGAAAATCTTTACCTTTTTACATTGCTTTAATTTCTCACAAAGAAATTCAGTCCTTGTTCCTTCATTGCCTGACACTAACCTTGGGGAAGACACAACACAACTTCTTTTTCTACCATGTACTCCTTATGGATGTCCCACCTATTGTCCTGAGAACAAACTTTGGAGGGACCCCATAAAAAAATGCAGACTTAAGAACAGCTGAACATAACAGGCTCTCCAAAGACGAAAAAATGCATTCAAACGATCTCTAGTAGCACTAGCATTACACAAACCTCATTTACTTTACTAGTTTAAGATAAAAAAATGCTTAAGCAAGAATTCATCCCCCCACAAAATAAGTCACCATAATGTTCACAACACTCATAAAATAAAGATCAAATGTGTTGTACTAACTTTATAACTGTTTTAATCAGCACAGCTTTTCTGTTATGTAACAAAAGTTTCAAAAAAATAAATACTATATTTAAAATCATATCTGAAGACAATTTTGTATCTGAAAACAAAATTGTATTTGAAGGCTCTTGGTTTGAACTGAGTTAAACATCAAAGGCAGAATTTCCTCAGAAAGTACATGAAAAGATGTTTCATCAGTCACTAGGTTTAATGAAAATGAATACCGAAAGGTAGCACTTAACATCCAGCAGACTGGCTAAAAACTTAAAAAAAAACAAAGAGTGGTCAGTATGATCAAGGATATGGTGACACTGAAACCCTCAAACACTGGTAGTAGGAATGTAAAATGATGTTACCACTGGGGAACAGTTTGACAGTTCCTCAAAATGCCAAAAACAGAGTTATGACTAGGTCCTGCAAATCCACTCCTAGATGTGTACTACAGGAAAGTGAGAAGTTATGTTCACACTACAACTGCATATGAATCTTCACAACAGCATTTTCCATAATAAACACAAGGCAGGAAGAGCCTAAATGCCCATTAACAAGTGAGTGCATAAACAAAATGCTGTCAAGGAAATATTACCTAGTAGTTAAAAGAAATAAAGTACTAAATCACCTACAGTGGTATGACATGGATAAAGCACTCGGGTAAGCAAAAGGCGCCAGGCACAAAAGACCACAAATTATACGGTTCCAAATACATGAAATGTCTGCCATAGAACAAATCACAGTGATAGAACGTAGGATTGTGGTTGCCTGGGGTTGGGGAGGAGATAAGTGGTGATTAGGACTGATAGGGAGCCTATAAGCTTTCTCTGTGTGGTGCTAAAAGTGTTTTCAAATTAAGCTGTAGCGATAATTGCACACCTCTAACTGTCCTAAAACCACTAAACAGTGTACTTTCACATATCTTATGATATGTGAAATATATCTCAATGCAGCTGCAGAAAACATAGTAGGTTTTTATACTGCAATAATAGTTGATGCATGGCAGAAATTTTAAGCATGGCAACAGTCCTGGGAATAACTTGGAGACATTAGAAAGTCTTCTAAAAACTAAATGAAAAGATAGCCAGCCTACTTGTGCATTGCATATTATTATGGGAGTTCCATTTTCAGATACAAAAGGACACAGTAAACTCATATGCCATTCTTTTAGGAATTCTTATCCAGGTAGAACGCTGCTTTGTATTAACTTTGAATACAAAATTCTCAATAACTAGCATTTTTAAATTAAATTTTATATGTGTATCGAAATTTAAGAAGCAAACCAAACAAGTACATGACATAGTTAAATAGAAGGGCTTCTTTAAATTTCTCTGTGTTCACTATGCAAATCATTCATGCTACTCAAGATGGTGCTAGAAAACAAAATCACTTTTTAGTAATATATTTACTTTGTAATTATGTCAAGATTAAAATTTTTATATTAAAATCATCTATTTGAGTCAGTAGGTGGTAAATCAGTAAAGGTAAAAAAATAAACTTAGAATCTTGGAATAATGTGATATAGATTATAACCCCTAAATAAAAGAATAAGCAAAGTTCTTTTTGGATAATTTTATTGTTATTTAATATTCTTATACAAAACGTTACCGTTATGTTAAAAATATCAGAAGCTGTATTTATTCCTCACCACTCATTCCTTTCCTCCATACAAACTTTGGAGCAATAGTCATGAAAAGTGTGTGTGTGTGTGTGTGTGTGCACGCGCGCGTGCATGCATGTATACTTATGTGTATATAACCTCACCTTCCAAAAAGCAACTGAACAGTCAAATTCACATAGGTAAAATGAATCTATTTGGTTTACTGAGAGTTAATACAAAATTCCTCTAAAATTTATATATGATGTTTACTTTCTATTTTAATTCATCCAGAAACAGGATAACAGAAACAAGATAATAGTTCCAATAAGATTATAGTTGTCAGGGAAATAAGAGGAAAAATGAAAGGCAAATTACTACTTAAGTTTTTCTTCCTCAGAGAAAGCTGTAACTAATAGACTATGTCTGACCCCCAACAACCTGATTTGAGAATTGCTCACAAACATAAGGAAAATAAAGTAACAAATGGTAATGTTATGAGTCAAAACACACCCTTCCTGGCTTTTCATTTGTGTCATAACCTGAGAGATGTACAATACATTATGCAACAGTCAGGGGACATCCTTGTGATCCGACCCAGTCCACACTCTAATCAGGGACACTAAATGAGTTTACTGATGCTAATGGTTGATACTTGGTTCTTTGTAGGACCCACACATGAATGTCCAATAATCATGGAAGTAGGTGACAAATAGAATCACAGGGTAAAAATAGGACCTAAAGCTACAAGTACACAAAAACACAGCCTGTGCCTGATGTCAAGGAACAGTGAAAGTTCTTTCTAGTTGTTGAATTAGGACTAGCACTGGATGGTTAATCCGCTCCCTCCACTCTTGTACCATGAAGAAGCATGTCATTAAAGTATTATTTTTTTAAATCATCGTTTCATTTTCATGCAAATATTTTTCTATTCTTTCATACTAGGAAGCACTAGTTTTTTCTTCTTATCAACCAACTTTAAAATGTAAGAAAATAAGATTAGCAGAAAAGACAACTCATCTCTCTCCCACTGGAAATGGACGCCAAGTTAATTATTTCTACCCTCCTTATCTCCTGAAGCAAAAATAAATGCATTGTGTCTGAGAGTGAAGTGTTTCCAATGCAATTTTTACTCTTCCTCTCAGATGCCTGTTTTAATCTGCTCTCCTCACATAACATAGAAGACCTTTGATTTCTATTGTCCCATAAGGCACTCTATTGTTTATCTCATCTCACTTCATAAGCACTTGGTCAAGCAACACAAAACTATTATTATTATTATATAGATAATAAAAATGAAGAGTCTCTAAAACATTGTTTTTTTAAATGCAAATTAGCCATTGAGTTAATTTTTATTATACTGTTTTGAGACTCTGTATCATTGTATTTATTTTTGTTTACTATTCTGCTTTTAAAATAATAAACAAAAAAGCATAAAAGCCTAATTCTACACCATGTGGATTCCATGTGTTTCTAGACCAATGTCTTCACAAACTTTAACAGCAAAACAGTCTCCCAGGGAGCTCATTAAAAATATAGATTCTGTTTCTGACCATCTCTTAGATTCTAAATGCTTACCAAACTCCCACCTGATGCTAGATCTGTTGGTCCATACACCATACTTGAAAAGCAAGGCTAGACCATCTGTTAGCAACTTTTCATGCAACACCAGCTGTGACTCATTGGAAGAGAGAAAGGGATAGAAGTTTCAACAAGCAAGTTGGAACTTGTCCATGAAGTAGCACTTTTTGACTCTGTGCCATGTCCTCATTAAATAAAGAAAGAGAAAAACCTGGTTTTGTTCAAAATAGTATGTCCAAGATTCTTGCTTGAAAACATTAGTATTTCATATGTTGGGTTGGTAAGAATTGGAGGTAAATGCTAGTGACCCTTAGCCCTAAATTACCTAAGGTTATCTCCAAATTTGGATCAGTTATTTAACTAGTTAGAATCAGAAAAGAGGTAATAGATAAATGATAGATATATGTAGATGATAGATAAATAGATGATATATAGATACAAAAGTAGATG